TTTTAGGAAAGGGTCTACAGGGTGTTCAGGGTCTCACTACTAGATCAGATTCATAATGATCTGCCTGTTTGCAGCCTCCAAAGAGCTGGGATTACAGGCGTGCACCACCATGCCCAGTCTCAATTGCTATCTCAGCATGCCCCAGGGGCGGGGCTGACATGGTAGGCATGGGGATTAAATCCTTGGCCCCTTCTCCTGCTTGCAGGCACTTTAATCCACTGAGCTTTTTGGCTGGCCCTTTCTAGTCTTTATAATTTCCTCCTGCCTTTGGGCTTTGGGCTGGTTTGCTCTTCTTTCTAGAAGCTTCATGTGCAGCATTAGGGTATTTGTTCTCACTCTGTTTTTCTTTTCTTTTTTCTTTTTTTCAGACATCATTCTTTTTTTTTTTAAATTATTTATTTATTTATTACATTTATTTATTGTGTGTGTGTGTGTGGCCAGCTCAGCCCACCAGGGGGCGAGGCTGGCTGGCATGTGGTGCTGAAGGATCGAACCGCGGTCCTTGTGCTTTGCCAAGCTTGTTCCAAGTAGCTGCCCTAGACCACTGAGCCATCTCTCCAGCCCCCTCACTCTGTTTTTCTAATGTATGAGTTCACTGCTGTAAATTTCCCACTGAGAACTGCTTTCATTGCATTCCACAGATTCCAGTAAGATGTGTGTGAATTTTCATTGGATTGTAGATATTGTTTAATTTTTCCTTTAATTTCATCTGTAACCCATTGGTTGCTGAGGAGGGTGTTGTTTAATTTCCATATGTTTATGGGGTTTTTGTGGTTTCTTTTATCCTTAATTTCCAGTTTCATTGCACTGTGGTCAGATAATATGCATAGGATAATTTCTATCTTCTTTCATATTCTTAAGCATGATCTGTGGACTAGTATGTTGTCTGTTTTATATAACGCCCCATGTATGGCTAAAAAGAATGTGTATTCAGATGTTGTTGGGTGGAACACTGTATATGTCCACTCAGTCCTTTTTTTCCAAGGTTTGGTTCAGTTCTGCTACCTCTTTGCTAAGTTTTTGTCTTCTTGACATTATCTTTTTGAGATAAGGGGGGGTATGGTCCCCTGTGAAGATTATGATATTAGTTATTAAGTTTTTCATATCCATTATAATTTGTCTTATATAGTTGGGTGTATCCACATTTGGTGCATACATATTTATGACTGTTATCTCTTCCTCTTGAATTTTTCCTCTAACCAGTGTATAGTGACCTTCTTTATCTTTTTTGATCATTCTTGGTTTGAGGTGCAGATTGTCTCTGATCAAAATAGCCCCTGTTTTTTTCTGAAGTCCTGGAGCATGTAGTATTGTTTTCCATCCTTTGACTTTCAGCCTATGAATTTCTTTATGGAATGAAATGTGTTTCTTGTATATAACATACTGGATTTTGTTTCTTAACCCACTCTGCCAATCTATTTCTTTTATTGATAAATTGAACCTATTTACAATGGTGGTTATAACTGATGTGTATTGACTTACGTTCATTATGTTATTTACCTGCTGCTGTTTCTGTACTTTTCTCCTGTGTTTAATAGTTTGCTGTGTTTGGTGGGTTCTTTCTGTTGTAATTTTTGGAATTGTGGGTATTTTGATCCTTTTCTAGAGTATCTTTTAGTGCTCAATTTAGGGTTGGTTTGGTAATCATGAATTTCTTTAGTTGTTTCTTTGTCATGGAAGTATTTTATTAAACTTGAAAGAGAATTTTGTAGGGTATATCAGTCTGGGTTGAAATTTGTTTTCTTATAGGACTTGAAGTACTTTGCTTCATGCTCAATTCTTGACTTGATGGTTTGTGAGAAATCTGCTGGGCTTTCCTTTAAATGTGATGGGTTTTTTTTTTTTTTTTCTTTCTTTTTTTTTTGTTGTTTTTTGTTTTATTTCTCTCTAGTGGCTTTTAGTATGTTCTTGTGCTAAGTTTCTGGAATCTTGATTATTATTTGTCTAGGTGTAATTTTAATTTAGTTGATATTATTTGGAGTTCTATATGTCTTGGTTACCTGAATGTCAGATTGTTTTCCCCATATTTGGGAAGTTTTCTGCTGTTACTTCTGTCCATATTCTTTTTTTTTTTTTTTTCTTTTTCTTTCTTTTTTTTTCAGAACAAGCGATTGAACTCAGGCCCTTGTACTTGCCCAGGAAGTGCTTCTTCCACTGAGCCATCTCCCCAGCCCTCCTGTCCATATTCTTTTACATCATTTGTGATGTCTCCTCCTTTCTCATTGATGCCTGTTAGTCTTATATTGTTCATCTTTGAATCATCTTGCAGCTGTTGAATTCTTATTTCTTGGATCCTAGTTGTTTTTAGGAGCTCTTTCCTTTTCCCTAGCTGCAATGGTGTCTTCAAGATCTGAAAGTCGTATCTTCACTTTCATTAAAATAGTTTTGCCAACTTTTAGTGAAGTTTTAATTTCTTGTACATCTCTGAATCTGCTTATGCATTCTTTTTCTTTCCTATATTGCTCCTTCAAGGGTTCCATCAGTTTTCTCCTCTATGTTTTGTCAGTGTCTTCTTTAGAAACACTTAGTAGTTCTTCCATTGTAGTTATCATTTCTTCTTTTACCTGGGAGATTATTTCTGATCTGATTTCCTCTATACTCTTCTGCAGCTGTTTGTTTACTTAAGTTGCTATTATTTCATAGTTTTCAGGTGTGTGGCTTCCATTTTCTTCTATGCTGATGTCTCCTGGGTTTGTTCTGGGTGGATTCAGGGCCTGAGAACGCATTTTGCTCCTTTTTGTCATTTTCTATTTCAGAGAGCTCTTTATTTTGATTTCTGTGAAATCACTTTTTGTGAGCGTTTGATAGTAGGTGGCTGTATCACTGCAGTCAGAGCCTCTCTGTAGAGTCTGTTTCTTAGATATCTCTCCTGTCAGATTCTTGTTTCGTGTATGTCCCAAGATTTTGGCTTCTCTATTGATTTCCATTTGGCACTGTTCTTTAAATTTAGTCCTAGTAGAGCTTTTTTGTTTAAGTATGTTTAGAGAAAGTTCTGTTTTATTTCTCTTTATAAAAAAGTATTTTGTAAAAACATGGTTACAGCCCCTGTTTTGCTTAGCATCTTCTAATAAGCCAAATTTCAATAAGCTAGAATTTTTTTCCCTAGTAAGTATAAAAGCTTTCAGAAATTATCAGTCTGTCATTTGACCAACTGAACAAATTTCTCACTTTTACAAGTGAAAATGGATTTGAATGGTAGGTTAGTAGAGAGAATTGTTGATTTTTTTTATGATTAAAATGCTTGAAAATTCTTAGAATAACATTTCTTTAAATCCTACTAGAAGTTACTGTCATTTTTACAAGGACTTACAGTTATGTTTTCAAAACTGAGTTGTTTGAACATGATGTTTCTCTAAGAGAAAGCTCACCAGCTGCTAATTTCCCCTTACCAAAACCTTTCCTTTGAATCATTTTGTTGACCCAAAGTTTAAATATGTTAAATGATGGGGCCGTGAAGATGGCTCAGTGGAATAAGCACTTCCCTGGCAAGCACAAGGGCCTGAGTTCAATCCCTGGTTCCGCAATAAAAAAATAAATAAATTAAATGATAACTTCTTTTTCATATTTCTTTTGCTGTCTGCAGATTGTGAAAATTAAAATGAACAAACTACGTCAAAGTTTTAGGAGAAAGAAAGATGTTTATGTTCCGGAGGCCAGTCGCCCACATCAGTGGCAGACAGATGAAGAAGGGGTTCGCACCGGAAAGTGTAGCTTCCCAGTTAAGGTAAAAGTGGCTATTTCTATAAACCTCTCAATGGCAAAGAACTGACAAGTGATTGGATGTGAAATTCCATTAACCAGGACATTGAAAAGAGAGCCCTTCAACAGTGAGTCCCTTCATGTTCTGTTTGAGTGATAGAAATGCGAAAAAATATGTTACTGTTAGAAATCTCTATTTTTATATTTAAGGATTTCTGCTGTGTAATCTGGAATCAGTACAAATAAGATTACTTCTGATGAGGAAGCTTATCTTGAAATATCTAAACATCCTGTTATTAGGAATCAAATTTTCAGTGGGATATACTTAGCAAGTGATAGGGTAAAAGAAATAGGAGTCTACTTTCTTGAGCACAGGCCTGGCGTAGTCTAGAAATCTTTGAGTTGGCATAATCCAATCAAAGGTTTCTTTTTATTCTTGTTAATTTTAATCATACAGAGGTTGCTGTATGTACAAGTAGGCGAGTTTTAAACTGAAGAAAGAGTAATGCTTTTGTTTAAACAAGAGCAAAGGTAGAAAATAGGACACACCCAAGTTTGTGTGTTGATGGCTTGAGATTGATAGACTTCTATTGTGAAGGCATTCTCAGGGAAACAGGAAATAGACACCCTTGTAGAAGATGAGGGAAGTTGTAGATGTGAAACTGGGTTGTGGGCGCAGGGGAACAGCTACTCCAAAGAATAGTAGAAAAAAGTAGTCGAGTGAGATTGCGACTTGTTTGGTCTCTGCTGTGTGTATTTCAAATACTGATACCTATATACTATGATAATTCAGCATTAGCATAAAGAGTAGATTTAAAACTTTGTTTTGCAATTATATTACTGTAGCATAATTTTAATGGAGAGGGAATTTTCATGTTTCATTTCATCACAAATGAAACATTGTCTTATATGAGTATATGAAATTTAATCTAGTGGTTCTTAAAATGGATTCCCCGAAACCTTTTCAAAGTCTTAAGGCATTCTCTTTCCAACCATGTATCTGTATATCTATGTGAGGCCAGGTTGTCTTTACATACTTCAACCAAAACAACAACATACTGCAACAGATTAAATGTAGAAACAAATATGGGAGTCTAGTTTTTTCATATTAAGCCAGATATTAAAGAATTAGTTCTTATTTGCTTTCATTTTTGAGACAAGGTCTCATTATATAGTTTGGCCTTGAACTCACTCTGTAGCCCAGGATAGCTTCAAACTCTTGACCATCCTCCTACCTCAGCTTCCCTCCCAAGTGCTGGGATTAACAAGCATGTACCACCATGCCCAGCTCATTAATTTAAAATGAATGGAATTTTTAAAGTTCTTGGTTACAATTTGCAGTAATCAGCAATACTCATAAGTGTCTTGAAAAATATTTAACTGAAATTTTCAATGTAATAGTGTCCTGACATCAAGAATTTGAGAACTGGGCCAGGGAGATAGCTCAGAAGCTTAAGTGCCTGCCTGGCAAGCGTAAGGTCCTGAGTTCGATCCCTGGTACAAAAAAGGAAAAATTTGAGAACTTATTGTTTAAATAATATACAGCGGGCCGGGGAGATGGCTCAGTGGAAAAAGTGCTTCCCTGGTAAGTGCAAGTGCCTGAGTTCAATCCCCGGTTCTGTGGGAAAAAAAAAATAATAATAATAATAATATACAACAATTAAAATAATATACTAAAAATGTATGTGTAATTGCCTATCATATTGTCAATTTTGGTTATTAAATGGTGAAATTCAAGGTGATGCTTTCATTTGTAATTAAAATCATAGCCATGTGGAATAAAACAAGTCTATAATCATAACAAGATCCTGAGGCAAGGGCTGGGGAGATAGCTCAGTAGAATAAGCACCTGCCTGGTAAGCTCAAGGCCGTGAGTTCAATCCCCAGTTACCACCAAAAAAAAAAAAAAAAGAAACAGAAAAAAAGATCCTGAGGCAAAAGGATCTCAGCTTAAAGGCTCGCCTTACATAACTAGACCTTGTCTCAAGAAACTGATAAAATGAAGTCTCAGTTCTTTGATTATGTAGAACACTTGGCTGCTAAAATGGCTCTTCCACTGGTAGATTTTGGAGGTCACATTATGTTCGCATCTGAGGGTGTGAACGTTACATTTGCAAAATTTTTACTTACTATGTTTTATAGATTTATTATTTAACCCAAAGTTAAAGGAGATGAAAGGGCTTTCATATTGCTTTGGTTTGGGGACATATGTAGCACTTACTCAGCTGTTACCAGGAATTGTGCCAGTATGTACAGGTAGGATAGAATTGATCATCTGGGTGCTAGAGTGGCGTGTATTTACTTCTGCACCAGCATCTAGCTGTGTTGTGATCTACCAGGTGATTTAGGGGACCACACTTCTCTAAGATAAGGACTACCATTGTGCTAGACATTATAATAGATATTTTAATAATAGGGCTTTCTTCTTGCGTGTATAACCATATAGCTGAGACACAGAAAATAGTCCTTGTACTATTTCAGTATTTCTGAGAGACTAGTTTCTGATTCATATAACATTTCAGAAGATTTTGGCCCAAAGTGTAATACAAAATTAGAAATTGCTAAATATATCAAGGAAAAAGATGTAAAATAAAATGAAAAAATAGTACAGAAACTGATGAAATTCTAAAAATTGATTCTGTACAAATAAATATGAAGGCATAGGTAAAATTGGTAATATTCTTAAGCTGGCCAAAACTGATGCCTAAAAATAATGAAAATATAAAGAGATCAACCAAGATAGAAGGCACACTGTCAGTCATCAAATTATGTACCTTTTACTCCTAATAAAAGTACAAGGGAATAAGATTAAGTACTTTCATAAAAAGATAAAGTTCATGAGGCTATACCTGTTCCCCAAAGCCCTATACAAGCATAGCCTGGTACTCAGCTGCTTTGAGTCTTGCAGAGCTTGACTCATTTTGTCATGAAAATTTGGGCCTGGTTCTCTTTAGTTTGTTGTTTAATGCACAAGCTGCAGATGGTGAATGGTGTATGGCTTACCACCCTTTCCAGCCCAAAGAACTTTGATGTTCGTCATTTTTGGTACTCGTCATGTCTTCCCAGTCAATTAATGACAGGTGCCGAGGTATCACTGTGAGTGTTGTAAAGCTTAAAAATTCTTTTTATATGTGTAGTATTTCAAAACTTGACGTAGAGCATCTAAAACAGACTTCAGTCTAAACTAATTTATAGACATCAACATAAAGCTTTTAATAAAATGTTAATGTACAGAATCCAGCACTCTAATTAAAGAGTAATACACACCCTAACTCATCTAAAGAGCAAGGAAAAGTGGTAATATATAGCTCAGTGCCTGCCTGGCAAGCACAAGGTCCTAAGTTCGATTCCCAATACATAAGGAAGGAAGAGTAACTTTTATGTCCAGGTGGCACAGCCTGGAGACATACACACGCACACACGCACACACACACACACACACACACACACACACACACACACACCCGATTCTTATTGAGTAGGCCTGAAGCATATGCACAAGACATAGTGGTATCCTCTAAGAAAGCAGTTATTTCATATTTACAGTCTATGCCACAGAGGTATCTAACAATTTCAACTGTAGTTACCTCATATCAATTTTATTTTTAGTGTTTCACTTTTAATTGACTTATTGTGGTATTATACATGCTTGTGGGATATATCATACTATTTTGACATTGTACAGTGATCAGGGAAATTAGCATATTTATCTCCTCAAATATTTATGTTTGTGTTAGAAACATTTAAAATCCTCTATTCGTGGGGCTGGTGAGATGGCTCAGTGGTCTAAAGCACCTACTTAGAACAAGCTGAGCAAAGCACAGGGACCGCGGTTCAATCCTGCAGCACCACATGCCAGCCAGCCCCGCCCCCTGGTGGGCTGAGCTGGCCACACACACACACACACACACACAAATAAACAAATTTTAAAAATAATAATAATAATAAAATCCTCTATTCAAGCTATTTTGAAATATACAAGGGCCGGGGAAATGGCTCAGTGGAATAAGCACTTCCCTGGCAAGCGCAAGGGCCTGAGTTCAATCCCTGGTTCTGAAAATATATATATATATATATGTATACAATCAATTGCTACTAACATAGTCACCTTACCATGCTATAAAATACTATAACTTAATCCTTTTATATATTCATTCTTAAGTATCTAAGAAGTATCTTATAGCTAAGGCCTTTGTCTTGTTTTTGTTTTTAAAGTACGTAGTAGTTATGCAGATTAGTGGAGCTCCATTTGGCAGATTCATGCATGCATATAGCTTACTTTGATCATTTCCACACCCTGGTTGTCCCCTTGTGCCCCCATTCCTGTTTCCTTCCTCTTCTCTGATAGTTCCTTTCTACTTCCATGGCCCTCCTACTTCCACACATGAAAGATAACATTCAGCGTTTGTCTTCTGAGTCTGTCTTATGTCACGTGATGATCCTAGTTCCATGCACTTTTCAGAAAACTACATGATTTCGTTCATCTTTATGGCTGAATGGTTCTCCTTTGTGCTATATATGCCACATTTTATTAATCCATCTGTGGAGAGCACCTAGCTTGGTTCCATAGTTTAGCTGTTGTGAGTTGAGCTGCAGTAAATGTGGGCATGCAAGTTATTTTTGTAGTATGCAGACTTTAATTCTTCTAGGAATATACTGAGGAGTGATATATAGCTAGAACAAATGTGATCTCCATTTTTAGTTTTTTGAGGAACCTCCATATTGGCTGTACTAATTTACATGCCCATCAGCAGTGGAGTTCCTTTTTCTCTGCATCCTTGCCAGCACTTATTTATTTGTATTCTTGGTGGTAGAATTCTGATTGAGGTGAATTGGAATCTCTGTGTTGTTTGGTTGTGCATTTCCCTGGTGTCTAAAGAAGTTGACCATTTTTCATATAGTCATCAGCTATTCATACCTCTTCTCCTGAAGCATCTGTTTAGTTCATTTGCCCATTTATTGATTAGGGTTTTTTGATTATGTTAACCTTCTTGAGTTCTTTATTCTGGATATAAACTCTCTGTC